AAAAATCATTCCAACGATGTCCAGTTTCTTTGTGTGGATAGTAACAAGTGGAAAACAAACACCTGGAAGCCTCTTCAGCTACACTGAGGCTCACCTGTGATTGGTTGATTATTTGTTTATTTATTTTTAGATATTATCTTTTTTTTTTAAACATAATTTTGAATACAGTAAAACTCTTTTTTTTTGCTGTTTTGCTGGAGGTTGACTTCGAGTGAGAAAAGAATTTGGAATTTGAGTGTTGAGCATGTGTGAAACTAATTTTTAAAACTCGAAATCAGATAAGAGATCCAAGAACTATGAATCAGCCAAGTAAAAAAGTACATTGTAATCTGGATTTACAGATAAAAAAATAAAGCACGCTGTAGAACATTTCTAACATTCTTTGGATGTCTTTTGAAAGAAGAACATCTTTCATGACCTGCGCTGTGACGTTTCTCACTTTAATGAAACACTAACATAATTCCAAAAAACAGTAAATGCACCACTCATAACTCTATACCAGCTGTGTATAAGGAAAAGACTTTCAGGAGACCTCAACCACAACATACAAAGTCAGGACGGAGGAGTTTACACTTTGCTGTTTCTTGGTAATGTGACAAGCTACATTCATTTAGTCTTTAGTCTAAAAGAGAGGCTGGTGAGGGAATGACTATTTATAGCTGCTATAGCGTAAGTGAGAACAGGAACCAACTTGTTTCCTTGACGTTCCACAATGTTAAATGTAACTATAAACAGACAAAAATATGTGTTGTTCTTTAATAAATTAACCACTGTAATCTGTAAATAGCTGTGGTATAAAAGGAATAAAACACTTAGGGACGTGCTGTTACAGGATAATAATCAACAGCACACCCCAATGTGTACTCTTTTGAAAATTTGAAAAATTTCGCTATTGAATTGCAATATTCAAGCGAATCAAATAAAAAAGAATCTCAAAATGTATTGATCATAATTTGTAAAGGGAATGTACAAAATCCTGAATTATGATGTTCTTTAGTGGTTCATTATATGAGTAGTGTGTTATGTGTATTGTCTTAATATATGAATGGAATACATTTTGAAAAATGAAGTGATGAGTATTTGTATGCTGCAACCCACAGTTCATGTTGTTTGGAATGTCTTTCTGCTGAATTCACATTTTTATATCGTCATAAACCATAAAAACAATCTTCAGAATAAAATATAACTTACAGTCCTCACGCAGTTGCTCTTGTATGACACCATGTCACCTCACAACAAACAGGGTCAACTGTTTAACTGAAACTAGCAGGAAGATGGTACTAAGAGTATCTTAATAACATACAAAGAGGGTATGTTTGAGCGAAAAACAAATGCACACTGACATAAACACCTAAAAATCTAAGTCTACTAGTACATGGAAACTCCCATGTTAAGAGCACATTCTGAGAGTTATTCTCTTAAGGAAACTCTGATAATACAAACATACAAGCCAGAGGAAATCTGGTAAAGAAATCTGATTTGTCTGAACTGATTGTGAAAGGAAAGAGAATGTAAACCTGAAATGACGTAAATTCAGACAGACACCCAAAAGATAATGAGACATAAACATCCAACACAAAACTAATATCTATAAATGTCAGGACGTGACTCCCTTAGCGTTTTGATCTTTTGGAACAGAACATGAACTGGCATCCTGCTGAATTATTAGATATTAGAAACGTTTTGGAATAGGTGAAACGTTCCGAAATGAAATGATGAAAATTAAATGCAATCTGACAGGTTACCCATTAAAGTTATGCTCAAAAAACATGTTCTCATTTCTCAGACTTTAACTTCCCTTAAAGATGAAAGGTGCAGGTTCCTATTATTGAATCTGAGTTTCGAGTAAATTTCTTTAAAAAGGTTCCCCTTGTGCCACAAAACAGCCCTGAGCCATCAAGGCATGGACTCTGAAGGTGTGCTCTGGTATCTGGCACCAAGATATCAGCAGCCACATTTTACACTTACACCCCTTCATGGCAGCAGTATTCCTTAATGGCAGTGGCCTCTTTCAGCAGGATAATGTGCCAGGGTATAAATAGTTCAGGAATGATCTGAGGAACATGACAAAGAGTTTGAGGTGTTGACTTGGCCTCCAAATTCCCCAGATCTCAATCCGATGAGACAATGGGTGGTAAATCTGTCCGAAAATAAAATAAAGGTAAATAAAATAAGGTGAGAATCCTCTTTTGTCGTTTTTTCTTTCTTTCTCAGCATTGAACAACAATCAAATAAAATATGCAGTTTCACTTACCATACAAACACAAATCATTCGTGCAATAAATATAATATGCCTAGGGTTAGGGTTAGACTAAAATTACAATATTATTTAATTTAATTTAATTTCTTTTTATCAAATCAATTTTATGGCCATAACTAAAATGGAAATGCTGACAGGAGAAGGAAAATTTAAACTTAAAATAAGTTTGCTTTTTTAAAAAAAAAAAAAAATTAAAAAGTTCAAATGAATTATAAGAAAATTAAAATGCAATGTTTACTTTGTATTTCTTTTCCATGAAAACACACAATGAATAAGTCCTAGCTTAAATTTATATTATTATACACTGAAATTATCTGTCATCTCATTTCCAGGGTGTTTCACAATGCAGACAGGCGCATTCCTTTTCCCACAGTCCCATCTACGGGTGTTTATTTAATGAATTTTGAACACTTGAAGGAACTTTATAACAGGCATAAAGTCATTTTTGTTTGTACACAAGTATTTCCATTGATTGATTAATCAGTAGCACATGTTCAGGCATGTTTGTATTTATTTCAGCAGAGTCCAGCATGTTGGTTTCAATGTGGATAAAAACACCAGTGAGTAGTCAGACGGTGAAGGCTCGTGCCTTATCTGATGCGTATCGTTTTGTTTCTCCAAGAAGTGTATTTGTAGCCTTCCCTTGGCGTTGATTTGTTAGCTTATATTGTTGTTTGTATGCAGGGGCAGATCGTACCAGTGCGCTATTAATTCAGTCCTAATGGATTAATTATTAATAATATAGTGGGGCCCAAAAGTCTGAGACCACATCGAAAATCTGGGGATATTCGAAACTCTTTTAATGTTTAACATCTTGAATATTCATTATTTAAGATTCTAATGTATATAAAAATTCAGATGTGTGATATTGATATTATGATATCATGTTAAGTCCTTTGCACAAAAGGTCAGATTTTCCTTGAGTTCTTATTTCTTCCATTGCTGTCATTAAAGAAAAGGGGATGTACTAAATACTTAAATTCCGACATTCATGCAATTATTTAAAAGATTCTACGTTTCACTCACGTTTATTGCCAGTAATATAATTTGTAATGAGACAGTCTGCATTAAATTAGAAAAGAATGCAAACGTTTGGACTCCACCGTGTATAAAGAATTAATTATTACTGTTGTCAGTTGTTTTGATTTGTCTGCAGGTTGAAAGACAAAAGAACAGAAACAGAAGTCAAACAGTTTCATCATGTAACATATAGTTAAAAACGCTGAGAAAACTGATGAACCGACTGCAGGCAGAGTCGAATATCTACAACAAAGACATCAATGTGCAAACAAAAAAAGACAAATCATGAGATATCTCAGATGATAAAAGCTTTAAAAAAAAAAACATACAGTGTTTTTTAGTACTCTTGCTGTTAATGTGAAATAATCAGGACTAGGCTTGTGCGGTAACATTATTATCGCCCCTACACAATATTACATTGCAACGGTTAGCGCTGATTATATTATATTACCAGACCTGCCAACCCTTACGCAGTTTGCGTAGCAGCTCCACAAAAACTCTGGAGAAGCTAGTGTTGCCAGGAAAAGGTCAATATTTAGGTGCATTATAGGTAGTTTGGGGTTGAGGCTCTGAGTGCGTGTGAGCCGTAGTGAGAGAGAGAGAGTGAGACAGACAGAGAGAGAGAGAGATGGTGTCTTTTTTAGTCCACTAACCCACATATTATTTTCTTTTTTGTCTGTGGAAGTAAGTCTGTGGAGTTGAATAAATGCCCTTCAGCATTTGAATAAATGCCCTTCAGTAGCACTTTCTTCTGAAAATGTGTAAATTACCCCAAAGTACCCCAATGGAGCTCTCAGAAAACAGAACAGGAAAGGTAACATTACTACTAGTTATCATCAAAAATAGGCCAGAAGAGCAGTCTTTTTCTAATCGCTAAACTGGGAGATGAGGCAATCGACATATGAATCTGGAATGATTTTTGCAGATGTTTTAAACTCTCTAATATTACCAGATGCTTCCTAGAAGCCCCGCCCCTTCCTTAATCTCATCCCTTCAGTGGCCCGTGTTTTGAGTTCATTAATATAAAATAAAATCTATCAGTGTATGTTCGACTTTAGACATGTATATATCTATTTAGCTTATTATACTTATTAGGGATGCCAGCAAAAAAATTCAGCCACAATTGTTTTCCAATTTTGACCCAAAAAATGAAATACGTCAACGCAAACACTTACAAATAATCTTAATGGTGATAATTCTAAGGTGATTAAATCAACTGGGTTTTTTTTTCTTTTTGACCGGTGCTCTCCTTCGCAACAATGAGCAGCATGAACTGTGAAAATGTCAGACACATGAACATTAGGCAATCAACTTGCAAAAGAGTTACATCGAAATATGCCGTTAGGTTTTTTAATTGTTTACTGCGCTGAATCACTTAAAAAACCACCATACAGCTGAGTTTTTTGCCCATAGTTCCTGGCTGCACAGCTGGTAATATTATTACAGTGCCTAAGAAAGTCAAGGAGACCCCAAGGTTGGGGTAGAGGAGGAAGTGCAGGATATGGATATTCATGTGCCTGATGTTCAGTGGAGTGAAGTGACTTGTGGCCAAGTATGGTGACACATACTCAGAATTTATGCTCTGCATTTAACCCATCCAACACCCAGAGCAGGGGGCACCCAGGGAGCAGTTAGGGGTTCGGTGCCTTGCTCAAGGGTCTCACTCTCTCACTATTGAGGGTGGAAGAGGGTGGTTATTCACTCCCCCACCTACAATCCCTGCCAGACCTGAGACTCGAACTCACAAACTTCAGGTTACAAGTCCGACTCTCTAACCATTAGGCCACGACTGCCCCCAAGTGGAGGCAGAGGTGCTAGAGAATAAAGGTGGAGGAAGAGAAGCATAAGGAGGAAGACATGTAGAGGAGGTTTAGAGGGTAAAGGCGGAATAAGTGATGCAGGAGGTGGAGTTACAGTATGCAAGATAGGTGTGTACTAGGTTTAAAGTATGTTTTTATGACTGTTCCTTTTAAATGTGAAGGTGCAGGAGGTGGATGAGGTAGTGGAGGTTAATGTGTAAAAGGTGGAGAAGTTGCAAGATGTGTTGTAGGACTGAAGGTGGGGAAGCTGTAAATGTGGAAGTGAAGGACGTGGATGTGGAGACAGAAGAACTTGAGGTGGAGAAGATACAGGTGGTGGATGTGGAGGTGAAGAAGGTCTAAGGGGTGAATGTAGAGGTGCAGGATATGGAAGTGGAGGGGAAGAAGGTGCAGGATATGGGAGAGGTGGTAAGGTGGAGGTGGAGGATGAAATGGAAGAAAATTCAGGAGGGTGTGGTGGAGAAGGTGCAGAATGTGGTGGTAGCATTGTTAATTGTTAATGTAGGAGCGAGTCTGAAGCAGAGAAGATCATAAAGGAGAATAAGAAGGTGCAGGTTTTGGATAAGGACACTGAGAAAATGGAGGTGTATCATTTGGAGATGGAAGAGGAGGACACACAATTTGTTTAAGACAGGACTGTGTCAGGATTGAGCTGGAGGTTCTATGTGTGCTTCGGTGTTCTGTGAAAGAGAGGAGGAAATGGAGGGGCAGGGAGAAGTGGAGGAGAGTGAAGCGACGGAGGCTGAGGTGCTAGAGGAGCTAGAGATGCCAGAGGTGGACGAAAAGGAGGTCAGGGAGGTGGTGTAAGTGGAGGCTGAGGGGCTGGAGGTGGAGATTGTGAAGGTGCTGGAGGATGTTGAGCTTTCTGAACACTGCAGCTCCTCTCTGATTATATTGAGCTCCACCAGTCCTTGATGCAGCTGCTCTGCCACCTCCCTGATCTTTCTGGCAAATTCTGACTTGGCTCCTTTCCTAAGTTCGTGAGAATCCTTTGCCACAAAGTAAATATCCATGGCAACAAAGAGACCGGTGAGGACACCCGTTGCCATGGCTGCAACCTGCACTGCTCTGGCTGCTGTGCCACCTGTTGCCATGGTGACTTGTGTGAGCCTGGTGATCTCACTGGCGTTGATAAGTACTGCTTTGCCTGCCATGGCGCCGTCCTCGTAGATATTGTTGATTCCAGAGAAATCACTATCATACACCTTTAGCTTTTTCACCTTTAAACAAAATGGGATCAATCATAGTTTACAATGTTAAAAGGAGTTTTTAAAACATTCACTTAGTCATAAATTTATCATCAGTATGTGTTGGTCAGTGTTGCTGTGGATGCAGTATTTAAGCATCTGTCCAACTAGGCTTTATAAGTAGTGTAACCTAGCAAACTAACTAACTAACGAAGGCTACAAGTTACTTAGGTTTCCTGTCAGATCTGTTAAATCTGTCTAACTAGGCTTTATAAGTAGTGTAACCTAGCAAACTAACTAACTAACGAACGCTACAAGTTACTTAGGTTTCCTGTCAGATCTGTTAAATGTAACCTTGTAAAAAAGGTCCAGTTAAAATCAATGCTCACTACATGATGGAAAGCTTATTGAATGGACTCATATTCTTTTATAGGTTAAGAACTCTTGTCCTCACCCTGGGAGCATTTAACTCTCGCAGGTTCTCGATGCCTCGTTTGATGAATCTTGTGCATTTGTCAATGTCAGCCATCTTGCTCTGGAAGTCCTTCACAATGCACTCCACTTTCTTGCGGTCCATCGAGCCATGGACAGTGTTGGAGATACCGGCCGAGGCCGATGTTAACCCACCCGCCGCAGCCATGCCAAGGCCCACTGCTGTGATGATCAGGGATGTTCCCATAGTAACAGGTGCCAGAGCAAGGCCTGCTATAGTGGCCACACCCCCAACAGCGCTGGTGGAGCCACCTGTGATCTGGGCCACTTTGGTCCTTTTGTTGAAGCGGTCCAGTCCGTCGGCAATGAGGTTGAGGTCAATGATGTGCTGCCAAAGAGCTTCTGCTCGCTCTGAAAACAGCTGATTAAACACGCGAATGCCTCGTTGCACCTTTTCGGCTGTTAATGCAAATGCCCTAAAGAGAGGAAAATGAATGTAGAATTTACCGATATTTTACAATTTGCACTAAAATGAGAAAAAATTATTTTTGCAATGCAAAGCCTTTGTGTCATGTTTCTAGAACCGAGAAATAAATACTAATCTGTTAAACAGCTTACGTAGCCTCCTCTTTTTCCGTCATATCTTCATCGTTGGACATCGGCTCCCATTCTGAACAACACAAGCACACTATGGTTACTATTCATTTATGTCACACTTTCTCAGCCTTAGTGTTGTTACGCACCTAAAATCTGTATATATGCTTTAAACACACTCACGTTTGACCGTACTCCACCACTCCATGAGGCTGTCAAGATCCTGTGACAGAAAACAAGTCATTTACCTCTATATGAAACTAATTGTAGGAAAAAATATGTAGATGTATTCCTGAGAAACCTCTTCGTCTTCGATATGAAGTCGATCCAGACGAAGCTCATTCAGCTGCTCCATGAGGGAGTTCTTCTTTAAGGCAGAAAAGACAAAATATGAAGACAATCCCATATATAAGCTTGTCCTCAGTTTGCATCTTTTTCCACCTTTAATGTGAAATAGCGAGCAACAACATTCAAGTGAAAAACAAACAGAAAGATTTTAGGAAAAAAAAAAAAAAAAGAAAACTACAAAAACCTATGTATGCACACTCCTTAACTAATACTTCCTCTAATAGTCTTCCTTGCACAAATGCTCCAGATATATCAGATTGTGAAGGGATCTTCAAGTCATTCCATAGGTTTTTGATAGGATTTAAATTTAGGCTCTGACTGGACCATTCCAAAATGTCGATCTTCTTCTGAAGCCATTCTTTTGTTGACTTGGATTTGTGCTTTGGCTCGTTATCATGCTGGAAGGTGACATTTTTGTTCAGCTTCAGCTGTCCAACAGAGGCCTGCCGGTTTTGTGCCAAAATAGACTGGTATTTGGAGCTATCCATGATTCCTTCTATCTTGACTAGAGCCCCAGTCCCAGCAGAAGAGAACCTAACCATAGTTTGATGCTGCCACCACCATGCTTCACCATGAGTATAGTATTCCTGTCTTGTTTTTGTGTCAAAAACATATATTTTAAAAGTTTAGAAGTTCTACTTTGGTTTCATTAGGCTTTAACACATTCATCTTACCCCACCACCTTACTCCACAGCCCAGACGTGTGAAGAATACTGTCACATTCATGTCACAAGAATTGCTGTCACATGCAAGGAGTGACCAGTACTCACCAGATATTCCTTCAGCTCCTTTAATACTGCTGTAAGTCTCATGGCAGCTTCCCTGATAAGTTTTCTTCTTGTTCTTTTGTCTATTTTAGAGGGACATCCTGTTCTTGGTGATGTCACTTTTTATTTTTATTTTTTTGTCCCTAAAATGTTTCTATTTGTTTTTCACTTTTTTTTGGTTGCTATATCACATTAAAGGTGGGGAAAGATTGGATATGATTTACCTTGGTTTCATTTTTTACATATCACAAAAACCTGCAATGTTAATAGGGGTGTGTCAACTTTTTTTATATTCAATGTACATATATAGACTTAAAAGGCACAAACACACATTCTACTGTCTTAAAGGCACAGCCAATCAAACTTGCCACTATTTACATATGCATATGAACAAGTCAGAGCAGAATGCACCAGAAAGAAACCTAAAAAAACTGCGTTGATGAGTTGACCATTTTCATTTTTCACTGCTTATTTCACAAAAATAAACACTGCTTGTCGTTTACAGGCTCTGTAATTTGTGTTCATAGTACAGAAATGTATTGCAATAATGATAACGGGTCACTAAATCCTCAGCACTAATTAAACAGCGCATTTATTGTCAAATCAAACTTTTTACTGTGCTCAGGTTTGTAATTAACTTCTGTGTAGAGAAGTAGAATACAGGGGAAACCAAATCAAAGCAAAAGAGAAATGGAAGAACATTTCCTGAATAGTGAACAAACACATTTTATGTAGATGCACAAAGTAAGCAAATTTCAGCAGCATTACAGCCCCAGCGTGTAACATTTATGTTATTTTAGACATGGCCACCTACACATGGTTTCAGTAAAAGCCAGTAAAAATTCCCCTTTCTGAATACCTCTAAAACCTCAGTGCCATCCTCACCGCTCCTCTTCTGATTCATTTTACTCTGAAATAAAGAAATAGAAATAGGAAGAAATTAATTAACTGAATAAATTTATAAAAACAAGCCCCATGCTGCATGTACAGTTCAGTTATGTAAGATAAATAAACATAAATTCAGATATAATACATACATAATTAGTTATACTACGCTCTTCAACACCCTTGATGATGTTATGATGCTCTACATGAAACAGAGCTCAGATTATTTTACGGCAGAAATCAGGTTCAGGTAGTCGTAGTGTACTACTCAAGTGGACATTACTGTTGTAAAGGAAAATACTGCACTTAATTACGACTAATTAGCAACCATTTGATTTTCTTTTCTAAAGCAGAAAATCAGAAATAGTCCACTACATGATTTATGATTTGATGCATAAAATTGGACATTAGTAAACAATCTGGTATTTAATTTCAATTCTTGACTCAGTTCTTAATAAAATTTATTGAAAAAAAAAAAAACCTAATCTAATTCATGCATGTGCATCACCTTTAATTTCTAACATTTATTTTATGTAATATTTTATGTCAAAATCAGAAATACAGTCACGTCCATAAATATTGGGACATCGACACAATTCTAACATTTTTGGCTCTATACACCTCCACAATGAAACGAACAAGATGTGCTTTAACTGCAGACTGTCAGCTTTAATCTGAGGGTATTTACATCCAAATCAGGTGAACGGTGTAGGAATTACAACAGTTTGCATATGTGCCTCCCACTTGTTAAGGGACCAAAA